AAAAAAAAAAAAAAAAAAAAAAAAAAAAAAAAAAAAAAAAAAAAAAAAAAAAAGAAAGAAAGAAAGAAAGAAAGAAGGGAAGGAAGGAAGGAAGGAAGGAAGGAAGGAAGGAAGGAAGAGGGAGGGAGGGAGGGAGGAGAAAGAAAATAGTGAATTCTTGACTGTTCATGTTTCTCACTTTCTCTCTCTGCTTTTGACTGCCTGTCACCCCATTTTTCCAGTTAAATGTTTTGATGTTTGCTATGTTTAATAAATAAGCACCAAGCTATATTTTTGCTAGCTGAACTGAGTGGCATATGTGCTTGTTCTGATCTGGATATAGGGATTGACAAGGAATAGGCTGGGTCTGGGTGCAAACTAAACTGAAAATTACCCAGAATAATCTTCTAACATGTCACAGGTCAGCTGCATGTACTTTTGCCCCTGGATTATGAAAATCAGAGCGTACATCGTCTGTCCGTCATTCTAAAAGACCTGGAGAATGAAGCCGCTCCCGCCATTCAAAAGACAGCAACGTGTAATGTCACAATTTATGTGCAGGTAATTTGAAGGTGGAAGGGAAGCTATGTTGATACAGAGCACTGAATATTCCCCCCCCCCCAGGCACACTATAAATTATATCCATCAGACCAAGCATTGATAGGGGAGATGGCTGGGCAACCTGTGGCCTGCCTGCTGGGTTCCCACCACACTTGGCAGATCTGGGAGCTTCCCAAGACTGAGCTGAACCATTCAGCAGCAGCCAAACACCAGCTCTCAGGGACATTATTGTTCTGGGGTGTGCGTGTGCATGTGTGCATGCATATGTGTGTAGGAATAAAGACAACATGAAAAGCATTAAATGCTTCACCCTAGCCCCGAAAAAGAAAAACCAAAATGAGGCAACATGTTCAGCTCTAGCCTGCCTAGCAACATGACTAGATTCCCCCCCAGTTTTTAAAAATGGAAGTGCAGCTCCTCTGTTCACAGAAAGGTTGCCCAGTCTTGTGTAGGAGAAGCTGGGCTTTGAACAGCCTCCTTTTCCTATGTTTTTCAATTACTCAACTGTTGTGTGGGTATGTGGGGCCAATATGCAAATGTATCCTATATTATAAGTTTGTATCTCCCTTCGTCTGCTCGTTAACCGGCTATAGTGTATTTTATTGGTTTTCAATAAAATTTCTTCTAAAATTTCCTGTGAGGAGAAACATGGCCTGTTGTTCTAGCTGTCACTGTACAGATGCCATGGGTCCTTTCTGTCAGAAAGGTGATGCCCTGAAAGCAGAAATTGCACGGGCATAAAACTATTTTATACAAGTGGGAGTAGGGAGAGACCACCTGTAAAGCAGCTAAACCAGTACCTTCCAGATGTCCTGGACTACCCTGCCCATTTTCCCACAATCCATAGGCCAATAGCTGTGCTGGTTGAGAATTGTTGTCCAAGACATCTGAAATGGACCAAGTAGGATCGACTTCTCTGAAAGCTTTAAATCTATGGTCTGGTATTTGCATGCAACTTTTAAAACTACCTGCAGTGGTAAATAGCAGCCACGGGGCCTGATTCAGATCCAGAGCACCGTAATACAAGGGGAAGGCAGGGTAACCGTTTTCTTCTGTTAGGCCTGGGATGGAGTAGGCTTCCACTGGGGCCAGTGGATTGTTTTCAGTTCAACCCACTGAATTCTTCTTCCTTCATATTGGAATCTCATGCGGCAAATAACCAACTGCAGAAAGTAAATATTTTTCCTGCCAAAAATCACTTCTGCAATCATCTGCTTTATGCTACTTTTGACTTATTTGGTTCATGTAGAATTACAATTACACAGAAGTTGCAACAGCTCATTTCCCTTTATAGTAACTGGAGGAACCCTGAGGCCTGGAAATCTTCCTTGCATGGAGCCTTGTCTTTTGGAATATCTGTGATCATTGCAGCAAGGAAGTGTTTGGGAACTTGTGAGCTATCTGCCATGAAACCTGATGTCCTTTTTATCCCCAGGATGTGAATGATCATCCTCCTGAGTGTGAAGAACCATTTTTGCTGCGTTCCATATATTCCACCCAAGCCAGAACTATGAGCGTCACAGAGATCAATTGTAAAGATACAGAGAGGGGAACCAAACTGACCTACAGCATTGTTGATGGTATGGAATAGGTGGCAGATTGCCCAGGACCCAATCAAATAAATTAAAAGAGATTCATACCAGGGACTTCTTTTGGATCTGAAAAAAGAAGGAATAAGCTAAACTTGAAATAGGGAAAAAGTTGGAGAATAGAAGCTCACTGATGAGGGCTGCTGCTGCTGCTGCTTCTTATAAAATGCTTAAAGAATTAAATTGCAGGCAAAAGTGGATTTAGTAGAATGGACTACGGTTAATGCTAGATTGCCATGGTAGAGGGAATATGCTGGAAATAAGAGTTCAATAGAATGATAAAGCTATTTCATCTTTTTTTTTCCACAGGGGTGCTCTCCAGGCAGGGATGTCACCCAGTTGGTTCAGTCCAGATTCTGCAAAGTGGTTGTTACACTTTTTTTCTGAGATCTGGAAGGCTGTGCCTTTCTTCATTTTGACTGAATTGCTCTAGAGCAATTTCTT